GAGCAGGCTTGTAGCAAAAATATACCCCTAGACGACAAGGCTTCATGGGCAACCCATTATTGGGCCCCCTTCCCGTGTGAGGAGTCTGAATCTGCTTGCAATAAATTTTCCACGTTTTTGCTTAAATCTTCTGGTCTGAGATCTCATTCTTTGGCTTCAAGAGATATGACCCCAGGACAAAAACCTCGGCTGGCCATTCCAGTTATCAGATTGTTGGAGGAAAATCAGCCAAGCTGATTTTTTTGTCCAGCCAGCCTTATCTGAATCCTGTGACAGCAGCCTGGGAGGGTTAAGCTCTCTGAAGACCTCAGCAGGCAGAGGGCCACTGGAGCCCTCAGGCTCCCTCCTGACTTCATAAGCCCAGCTCAGCCTGCTCCTGATTAGAGAATGACCAGTGAAAAGACCTCAGGATGGGACTTGCTCCTGCTCCTCACCCTCCATTCCGGCCCAAGAACTGATCATTTATGGGCTTTAAGCTCCTCCACCCCAGGCATGAGGTTTGAGCCAGGCCCTGGGCCCTGAGGGCTTCAGAAGTGACCAGCCAATGGATGATGAGTTGAAGTGGAGCTCTTATCTGTGGGTAGTCCCTGCCCTTGTTGAGCCTCAGGCCCTTGTTCAAGGTAAGAAACATCCAAACCTGTAAAGAATTTGTTTGGGTTTATTTGAGCCAAAACAGACAACAATTGCTCTGCGGAATGACAGTTTTGCAGTTTCCATTATGCATTTGAAATTAAGGAGGGAAGTAAAGATGATTACGTGAAGGTGAGAGAAAGCAAGGTGGGACAGAATTACAGGACAATTAAAATAGAATTGCAGGACAGATAAGTGGGTGGTTACCACTTATTTCAAAGGTGTATTAACCCAGTTACACAAAAACAATGGACAGAGCTTGCTTAAGGCAAAGATAAACCTTTTACTAAAATGTTATAGGCCTGGGCACAAATATCCACCATGACCCCCCCGCCCCCCAAGTTAGGAATTTATAATCAGATCACTCTGTGAGGTTACTTTCCATAGAATCCTTTTTTCCTTCCACACTCTGCTCGGAATCTGGGGTTTGGGTGCTGGGGCCATCTGGACAGCAGGGGGGAACAGGTCAAGCAGTCACCTTGGAGCCAATCCCAAGAATGTCCACCTAAACTGGAAGCTTAATACCAGCAAGATTAGTCACACAAAGATAACAGGAAGTTGCTTGACCTGCACAGCTCTGGGCTCTGGGCTGGCGGGAGTGGGGGTGGGACAAACCAGAGCTTTTCCTGAGTGCCAGCCCACCACATAGGCAATGGCTGCTCACTCATCCTCAAGCTGTGGGAACGGCATTCCCAGGCAGCAAGGAGGGGCTAGGATTCAGATCTGAGTGTGATTGCAAACCTGGCTTCCTCACAAAGAAAGGAGAGCTCTGTGAGGGACTCGGCATCAGCCTCAGGACTGCAGATCCAGTGCTTCTTCTCCAGGCCCGTTTCTTACCCTGGCCCTCTCAACTTCCTTCTTAGCCACCTAGAAATTCTGCTTGGGCCTCTGTTACCTTTGAGCCTTTGCACTTGCTGAACCCTCTTCCTGGAGTGCTGTTCCTCCCACCGTCTTCTGCTTGGCAAACATTACTCCTCTGGAAGCCTTTCCCTCACCTCTCTGGGCTTCCACAGAACTACACCACACTCTGGGCTTCCCAATAGCAAAGCCTTAGCAACTTGTTTTCTAATGCCTGGCCACCATGGCTCAGTGGTTGAGCGCTGACCCATGAACCAGGAGGTTACAGTTCAATTCCTGGTCAGGGCACATGCCCAGGTTGTGGGCTTGATTCTCGGTATGGGGCGTGCAGGACCCAGCTGATCAATGATTCTCTCTCATTTCTATCTCTCTTTCCCTCTCCCTTTCTCTCTGAAATCAATTATATATATATATATATATACATATATATATATATATACATATATATATATATATATATATATATATACACACATACACACACACACACACACACACACACACACATATATATATATATATATATATATATTTTTTTTTTTTTTTAAATAAGAGTTATTGGTTCTCAGGTCTACCTGCCCCCACCAGACTGTGCAAGGTACTCAGTTTCCTCCCTGTTGATAGAGACAAGCAGACTGGATGCTCAGAAAGCCTCTGTTGACTGACAGTATGAGTGCACGGATTCCTTAACGTCCTGAATACCTCCTCTCTGCAGGCACTGACTCAGGCTCAGGCATCTGTCACAAATGACACAGACATGGCCCCTGCTTTCAGATGTATGTTTTGTTAAGGAAAAGCCAGACACTAAACACAGCAGGTATATATCTGTACAAGGGGACTAAAGGGTTGTGATAGCCCTGACCGGTTTGGCTTAGTGGATAGAGCCTGTGGACTGAAGGGTCCCAGGTTTGATTCCGGTCAAGGGCATATACCTTGGTTGCGGGCACATCCCCAGTTGGGGGCGTGCAGGAGGCAGCTGATCGATGTTTCTCTCTCATCGATGTTTCTAACTCTCTATCCCTCTCCCTTCCTCTCTGTAAAAAAAATCAATAAAATATATATATATATTTTTTTAAAAAGGGTTGTGATAAGAAGGTGCCTCACCGTCCCTTTGCTGGTCTCTTCTGAAGCCCTGAGGGCCCAGGGCCCTGGCTCAGGGGCCAAACCTCATGCCTGGGGTGGAGGAGCTTAAAGGTGTTCAGAAGTCATTTTAGGAGGAAACTATAGGTTGAAATCTAACTGACTAGAGGGGAAAAGGCTGCAGAGGATAAAAGAACATTCTAGGAACACAAGGAGGGAATTGCTGAAGTTAAGGCCCCAAATGAAAAGTGTGAATGGAGCTCATATACGGAGGTAGAAGGGGAAATAATTTGACATGTAACCTAAGTAGAGGGATGGCCAAGGCCTCCTATGCCATTAGAGAAGTTTGGTTTTTACAACAGATACCATCAGAAAGCGTTAAAGGGTTGGTGAGGAGCTGTCATATAAATAGACCTTTTAGGTGTGTGTTTTTACTTTTTAAAAAAATGTCCATTGCATAGTAAAACTGATGGCTGAAAGTGTACTGATGAAGAGGATATCTGCAATTCTCAAAGTATCTCCCTACAACATACATATTAATTATAAGGGGGGGGGTAGTAAAGAAACCTGGAAGATGCAATATTAACTAAAAGATCAGTTAACATCATCAGATGGGCAAACCTGACACCATGTGGCTCCTGTTATGATGCACCAAGAAGGACAGAGTATTTATTGCTTTTGGGATATTTGTATCCAAAATGCTCAGCCTCAATCTAGTGATGAGGAAACAGATAAATTCAAAATGAGGGATATTCTACAAAATAACTGGCCAGGCCCCAGCCGGTTGCTCAGTGGATAGAGCATCGACCTGTGGACTGAAGGGTCCTGGGTTTGATTCCAGTCAAGGGCACATGCCTGGGTTGCAGGCTCAATCCCCACTAGGGGGTGTGCAGGAGGCAGCCAATCAATGATTCTCTCTCATCATTGATGTTTCTATCTCTCTCCCTCTCCCTTCCTCTCTGAAATCAATAAACAATAAAATAAATAAATAACTGGCCTGTGCTTTGCAAAATTGTCAGTGTCACAAAAGAACCTCCCTTGCTGAATTATCCATCAGTAGGTGACAGAATTAAAGGTAACATATACATAGAATAGAATATTGTACAGCAATTAAAAAGTTTGAACTAGATCTCAACAGATTAATATGGAAATATTTCAGAAACCATGTTCTCATGGTAAGGCACATGGCATATGACAACTACACCTATCAACTTAGCAGAAAATAAAAAGTTCGATGCCATACTGTGTTGACAAGGCTATGAGGAAATGGACACTCATATTTTGCTGGTGGGGGCTACATTGACACAACCCCTGTAAAGTTAAAATCCATATTAGAAAATTAGAAATCCACATACTCCTCTTCTGGAATTCAAGTATAATATTCTACTATGTACAAGATTATTCATTGTAACATTTGTCATTTTATTTATTTATTTATTTTTAAATATATTTTATTGATTTTTTACAGAGAAGAAGGGAGAGAGATAGAGAGTTAGAAACATCGATGAGAGAGATCGATCAGCTGCCTCCTGCACGCCCCCCACTAGGGATGTGCTCGAAACCAGGGTACATGCCCTTGACCGGAATCGAACCCGGGACCCTTGAGTCTGCAGGCCGACGCTCTATCCACTGAGCCAAACCGGTTCGGCAACATTTGTCATTTTAAAAAATATATTTTTATTGATTGCAGAGAGGAAGCGAGAGGGAGAGAGAGATAGAAATGTCAATGATGAGAGAGAATCATGGATCGGCTGCCTCCTGCACACGCGCTACTGGGGAGCCAGCCTGCAACTGGGGCATGTGCCCTGACCCCTGACAATGGGGAATCTAACCATGATCACTGGCTCATAGGTCGATGCTCAACCTTTGAGCAACACCGGCTGGGGTATTTGTTGTTTTTAAAAAAAGGAAACAATGCAGGTGTTCATCATTGAGACCCCTCCACCAATATTTCCATCCCACACCACATCTGGTAAGAGAAGGAAGGGGAAAGAAACTTGTTTCCCACCAGAAGCCTGATAAGGTCATCCATCAATTTCTGCCCACCTTCCCTCCACCAATCCCCTGGTCCCCTTGTGATGCAAGAATGATGAATTTAGCCCCAGACTAAGGGATTGATTTATACTCCCTGCTTGCTGGTGAACTTCAAGCTAGTCCCAGTCCTTCTCTGGTTCTCTCAACAGGAATGATGAATCAATGAGGCATGTCCCCCTACCGCCCCCTCTACCCCAGGACTGACTCACCCCACCCTCCGCAACCCACTCATCCCCAAATTATTTACAAGACACAGGACACATGTGGATCTCTCTATTTGAATAGACTGTCACCGCATAAGAACCAGGGCATTGTGAAGTCTACTAATTGAGAGAGCTGAGCTGGACTGAGCCCAGGTCACCCAGGGTGGGTGCAGGTAAGGAAAATGTCCAGGGATCAGTAGTGGAAGCAGTTCAGTCAAGGAGCCAGAGTTGCAGCATCAGAGCCAGGCTGAGCAGGAGAGGCCCAGTCCCATGGGGCATGGCCCTAGAAGTCATGGCCAAGGCATAGAACCTCGCCACCTCTTCATTGGGGTTGCCCTGGGCCGGCTCAAACCACATCTGGATGCAGCGGCCACTCCCTCGGCTGTATTGGCTGACCCGGTAGGAGTGACTCCAGAGGCCCTCACACAGGGCCGCAGGAGTGGGGAAGTAGGACTCGAATGTGCGACAGACGGCCTCAGCTGGACACTTGTTAGATCCTGCAGGGGGAGAGAGGATAGACACGGACCTCCAGCCCTGCTTACCTGAGAGAGATTCAGGCAATCCCAATCCTCACACCGCCTTTGCCCAAACCCCACCTCCATCTCCCCACCCACCCAGCCCTCACCTGAGGTCCAGTTCCAGCCCTTGTGCCAGTCACTCTTGCAGGTGTAGGAGGTGCAGCAGTCTTCCCACCAGCTCTCACAGTCCTCTTTGCACAGGGGCACGTTCCGGAAACGCTCTCTGCGCCAGCTGTCGTTCACCTGGGTGGGAGGTAATATGAGAAGGTTCCTCAGCCAGGCCTGTTGGCAGCCACAGCTTTGACTGAGCTGGAGGGCAGCCTGCTGGGGCGGGGCGGGGTGGGGTGGGGTGAGGACACCCCTGTACCTGCTGGATCCAGGGCCCCAGGTTGGGGGAGCACTCATAGAGACAGGTGTCCTGGATGAAGTGGCGCTTGCAGGCGGGCTCCATCTTGCCACAGTGGTCCCAGTTGAAGTTATACAGGAGGGAGGTGTCCTTGTGCAGCTCCTGGCTGGTGCTGACAGAGCAGCAGGCATTCTTCCTCCAGGGAGTGCACTGGGGGGGAGGACACAGCACTGAGTGCCCCCTGCCGCCAACCTCTGCCACCTCCAGCCTCTCCCCACTTGGTTCCTGCTCTCCAGCCCCAGGCAGGTTGTTCTGGAAACGCTCACTGTGAGGACCTCTCTGTTCTTGGCCTCCAGGAACTCTTATCGTGGAGGACACTCAATTGCAACTGTGTGATTAGGGGGTTGTGGGAGCCTGGGAGAAACTCTGTCTTGGGAGGACAAAAAACTTTCATTTATACAGGCCTTAACACTTTTAAAAGTTCTTAAATTTATTCATTAAAAATGTATTACTGAGTAGCTATTCTATGCCAGCCACTGTTGTAAACCGAGTATAGCAGACAAGAAAACAGACAGAAATATGTGTTCATGGATCTTATATTCTAGTCAGGGGAGACAGACAGGAAGTCACTAAAAGGGAAAAAATATGATATGAAAGGATATGATCAATTATATAGGGATGTTTACAGCAGGGAATGAGTATGTGGAGAACGAGGTGATTGTTGAAATTTAAAATACTAGTAAGGTGGTTTGAAAAGCCTCATTGCAAGGTGACCTTTTCAGTAAAGGAGGAAAGACAGTGAGCAATGCAAATATATATATATATAGTTGTTAATCCTTACCTAAGGATATATTTTCTATTGATTTTTAGAGAGAGTGGAAGGGAGGGGGAGAGACAGAGAATGAGAAACATTGATGTGAGAGAGACACATGGATTGGTTGCCTTCCACATGGGCCCAGACTCAGGATGGAGCCTGCAACCGAGATACGTGCCCTTGATCAGAATTGAACCCGGGACCCTTCAGTTCACAGGAATAAAATATATTTTTGAATAACCATATTCTTGGCAATAAATAAGACCTGTGTCCCTGCTGTGGTTAGGCCAGTACCAGACATAATGGGCCCACAGAAACATTTGCTAAAAGAAGCAAATGAAAGACATTTATGATTTCCTAATCTAAACTGAACTTCATCTTAGAAACAGACACATCATAGTTTAGCATGTTTTTAATATAAATCCGATTTTCCAGGTCAAGAAAACCATGAAATGGAAGGCTGTACTATATGTTTTGCATTATTGGAGCTAATTACCATTTTAGAAAATGGCCGCCGCTGGTGTGGCTCAGTTGACTATGGTTATTCAAAAATATATTTTATTCCTGTGAACTGAAGGGTCCCGGGTTCATTTCTGATCAAGGGCACGTATCTCGGTTGCAGGCTCCATCCTGAGTCTGGGCCCGTGTGGAAGGCAACCAATCCGTGTGTCTCTCCCATGCACCAAAAGGTCACCAGTTGGATTCCTAGTCAGGGCACATATCTGGATTGTTGTGGGCTCAACCCCATAGGGATGTGCAGGAGACAGCAATCAATGTTCTCTCTCTCTCTTTCTCTCTCTCTCTCTCTCTCTCTCTCTCTCTCTCTCTCTCTTTCCCTTCCTTTCTCTCTAAAATCAATAAAAACATGTAGGAAATAGTCATCAATGGCAACACGTCATAGTCTTTAAGTTGCCAATAGAATACACCTGCAAAAATCTTCATTTGCAGCTGCCCCATTCAGAGTGATTTTGTGAATAAAGAAACATATCCTATTTCACAATGACTTCTAATGTAGCCATACCAGAGAATTGACATATGAAATGTCGGTGGTTTTTTTTGTTTGTTTGTTTTTAATAAATTGCTTTCTAATTGCTGCTTCTTCGCATTACAGGTAATCACGTTGGTATTTTTATTTTTATTTTTTTAAGTTATTTATTTATTTATTTATTATTTATTTATTTATTTTTATTGTTTTATTGCTTAAAGTATTACAAAGAGTATTACATATGTCTCCTTTTTTTTCCCCGCCCTTGACAATCCCCTGGCCTCCCCTACTCCCCAGTGTCTTATGTCCATTGGTTATGCTTATATGCATGCATACAAGTCCTTCGGTTGATCTCTTACCTCCGCACCCCCCCCCGCCGCACCCCAACCCTCCCCAGCCTTCCCACTGTAGTTTGATAGTCTGTTAGAGGCAGCTCTGCCTCTGTATCTATTTTTGTTCATAAGTTTATAATGGCCTTTATTATCCATAAATGAGTGAGATCATGTGGTATTTTTCCTTCATTGACTGGCTTATTTCACTTAGCATAATGCTCTCCAGTTCCATCCATGCTGTTGCAAATGGTAAGAGTTCCTTCTTTTTTACAGCAGCATAGTATTCCATCGTGTAGATGTACCACAGTTTTCTAATCCATTCATCTACTGATGGGCACTTAGGCTGTTTCCAGATCTTAGCTATGGTGAATTGTGCTGCTATGAACATAGGAGTGCATATATCCTTTCTGATTGGTGTTTCTGGTTTCTTGAGATATATTCCTAGAAGTGGGATCACAGAGTCAAATGGGAGTTCCAATTTTAGTTTTTTGAGGAAACTCCATACTGTCTTCCATAGTGGCTGCACCAGTCTGAATTCCCACCAGCAGTGCAGAAGTGTTCCTTTTTCTCCACATCCTCTCTAGCACTTGTCGTTTGTTGATTTGTTGATGATAGCCAGTCTGACAGGTGTGAGATGGTACCTCATTGTTGTTTTGATTTGCATTTCTCGGATGATTAGTGACTTTAAGCATGTTTTTATATGTCTCTTGGCTTTCTGAATATCCTCTTTTGAAAGGTGTCTATTTAGGTCCTTTGCCCATTTTTTGATTGGATTGTTTATCTTTTGTTAAGTTGTATGAGTTCCCTATAAATGTTGGAGATTAAACCCTTATCGGTGATAACATTGGCAAATATGTTCTCCCATGCAATGGGCTTTCTTGTTGTTTTGTTGATGGTTTCTTTTGCTGTACAGAAGCTTTTTATTTTGATGTAGTCCCATTTGTTTATTTTCTCTTTAGTTTCCAATGCCCTAGGAGCTGTATCAGTGAAGAAATTGCTTCGGCATACGTCTGAGATTTTGTTGCCTTTGGATTCTTCTAGTATTTTTATGGTTTCCCGTCGTATATTTAAGTCCTTTATCCATTTTGAGTTTATTTTTGTGTATGGTGTAAGTTGGTGGTCTAGTTTCATTTTCTTGCATGTATCTGTCCAATTTTCCCAACACCATTTATTGAAGAGACTATCTTGGCTCCATTGTATGTTCTTGCCTCCTTTGTCAAATATTAATTGAGTATATTGGTTCGGGCCGATTTCTGGGCTCTCTATTCTATTCCATTGATCTATATGTCTGTTCTTGTGCCAGTACCAGGCTGTTTTGAGAACAGTGGCTTTGTAATACAGCTTGATATCTGGTATTGAGATCCCACCTACTTTGTTCTTTCTCAGGATCACTGCAGCTATTCGGGGTCTTTTTTTTATTCCAGATGAATTTTTGGAGAGTTCGTTCTAGGTCTGTGAAATATTCCGTTGGTATTTTAATGGGAAGTGCGTTGAATTTATAGATTGCTTTGGGTAGTATGGACGTTTTAATGATGTTGATTCTACCAATCCAAGAACATGGTATGTTCTTCCATCTGTTTATGTCTTCCTCTATCTCTTTTTTCAACGTCCTGTAGTTTTCTGAGTAGAGGTCTTTTACCTCTTTAGTTAAGTTTATTCCTAGGTAGCTTAATTTTTTTGGTGCGATGGTAAATGGGATTGTTTTTTTAGTCTCTCTTTCTGCAAGTTCACTATTGGTGTATAGAAAGGCCATAGATTTCTTGGCGTTAATTTTGTATCCTGCTACATTGCCGAATTCATTTATTAAGTCTAGTAGTTTTTTGATGGAGTCTTTAGTAGGGTTTTTTATGTATAATATCATGTCATCTGCAAATAAGGACAGTTTTACTTCTTCTTTTCCAATTTGGATGCCTTTTATTTCTTCTTCTTGTCTAATTGCAATGACATTGATATTTTTAAATTAAATGTGCAAATAGATTCTAGTAGCTTTGAACTTCATTCCAGGATAGAAAAGAAAGTCTAAAAAATATTTTTTTCTAAAAAGGAACTGTGGAAACTAATAGGGATGCAACCAAGTGGCATAATTTTTTATAGAATGTGTGAAGGTACTGCACCTCTGTCCTGTGTCGCAGTCATAAGAGGCCTTCTCCTTTGCCCCTAGCAGTCCATGGGACGGGCACATAGTCAGAGTAGGAAAACCATCCTCCCCCAACCCCCTGGAGGTGTCCGCCCGTCCTACCCCACCACGAGGGCTAGTCATGTCCAGGTCCTCTGTGTGTCCATAGGCTCCTCTGGGCCTCAGTTTCCACATTTGTGTCATGAGGAAAATGTCATCTGCCTACCTCAGAGGACCACTGCACAAATGAGATCATGGACAGAAAGCACATGACATCTGGTAGGTAGGTACTCAGTAAGTGATCATTGCATGTGATTGCTGACATGGTATCCTGTTCTGAGGAGGCCACCCCGAAAATCTCCTAAACCACTCCCGACCTTTACCTTCTCAGCAGTAATCAGAACATGGGGTGTCTGGCCCCTCAACCCTTCCTGCACCACCCTCAGGTCCTATTCCCTGTCAGAACCAGTCCCTTCCCCAACCACAGCCCCACTGCAGCCATACCTGGCCATGCAGCTTGTCCTCGGGGCCTGGCTTTGTCTTGTGGTGTTTGGCGTCCATGCAGACGTTGAGCAGGTCTGTCCTGTCTCTGGCACTGCACACGGAGGCTGAAAACCAGGCCAGCAGCAGCAGAGGCGGCATCAGTTTCCAGGCCATGTCTTTCTGTCCCTGCAGAGGAAGCTGTGGTTAGGGAGAGCGAGGCCTGAGGAAGAGAGCCCATGCCGGGTGCTCCCTTCACCCCCTCCTCAGTCTCCCCATCTGCACAGTGAAGGATGGGGCCAGACCCTGTTCCTTCAGTGCTGGGTCCTGGGGCTGCCTGACACTGAGATAGATGGGTGCTCCTTACCCCATTCGTGGAGGGTTCAGAAGGGGATCTGGGGTTAGTAGGTGGGTCCTCAGGGACAGCACCCAAGTTGGAGTAGAATGCTTGAACCCACTCATTCTCTCTGGATTTTACCTTTAAAAAAAAGTAATTAAATAGTTTAGGTCCCTACTTCCTGGAAAGGGCCAGGGACCCACAGCACCCTTATGCTGTGTTCAGCAAGTGCCCTGCCATTAGGCCCTGGATCACCTGGGTTCCCATGGCAGCTTAGGAACCCTGTTTGCCTGGGGAAGGCAGTGGCCCAGCTCTGCTGAGTTCTTCACAGCAGCCGGAGGATCAAGGGATGTAACACAAACAGGACTGGTTTAATGATACAGAAGAGGAAGTGGTGTTTTTTTTTATCTTTAAAAAAGGAAAGTTTTTATTGATTGTTAGAAAGAGGAAGGGAGAGGGAGAGAGAGAAACATCAATGAGCTGCCTGCTGCACAACCCCTACTGGGGATCGATCCCACAACCCGGGCGTGTGCCCTGACCAGGATCATGCAGCAACCTCTTGGTGCATGGGATGATGCCCAACCAAATGAGCCACACCAGCCAGGGCAAGAGTGGTGGCTTTCAAACAGCTTTGCCCCCTCATATTTCTTCCCCATTTCCTGAAAGCCTTTCCTCCCTCCACCCCATCAGGACTCTGGCCCCTCAGCTCTCTGAGAGCTGGACTAATGCCCCAGATCGCCACCTGACTCCTCAGAAAACAATGCAGAGACCCTTGGACTGAGGAGAAGGACAACATAAAAGTCTCCCGTGTTAAAGGAGCCTACCCGACAGGCACTGAGTGGCATGGGTGGCCCCTGGAAAAAGTGACAGCCCCTTGTCTGTCCAAGACTGCCCGCCACCCACCCCACCCATTACAGATCTGTTTCTTTGGGCTTAGTCGCTGAAGTACTAAGAATTAATAGTAAAGACCCATTCCTCTCCCTCACCATTCCCTCACGCAGTTGATCACCAAGCCCTGGCAAGGGTCTTTCCAAAAACCTTTCCAGAATTCACTTCCCCTGGCTCTGTGTTTGGGGTCAGTTCACTCCTCCAATTTCTCCCCCTTCTAGTCATCTTTCCCACAGGAGCCAGGGTGGTCTTTCTAAAGAAAGACGTGCTCCTCCCCTACCCACACACCCACCAAGTCCCCCAGTGCCCTGTCACCCTTCCCTCCTAAGGGCATCTTGCCTGAGCCTCCTCTGCTGCTGGGAGCACACACAGCTGTGTCTGGACTGGCCTCTCTCGGGGCTGCAACAGCTCCAGGACCCTGGACTCCCCAGTGGTCTCTGTCCTCAGGGCAGGATGACTGTAGAGCTCTGAATGTGCTTATGCAGAATGTACCCTGCGGTTAGCAATTTCTGCTTCCACCTCCTTCCTTCCTTTCCAGATCCCACTGTCTTCAAGGCTCCTTTAGTCTGACAAGTTAGCCAATATTGTTTGATTTCATCTCCCTTTTCTTTTTTTAATAAAGACTTTTAAAAAAATATTATTTTATTGATTTCTGAGAGGAAGGAAGAGGGAAAGAGAGATAGAAACATCAATGATGAGAGAGAATCATTGATTGACTGCCTCCAGCACATCTCCTCCTGGGTATTGAGCCCACAACCCATGCATGTGTCCTTGATGGGAATAGAATCTGGGACCCTTTAGTCTGCAGGCCGACGCTCTATCCACTGAGCCAAACCGGCCAGGGCTGATTTCATGTCTTTATTTTTTAATTTGCTCATTCCAGGATCCACACATTCAGCATTATGAAAATTTAGAGAAACACTCACCTCCTTGGGGAATCTGACTTTTGAGGTTCCACAAGTGGTTTTAGGATAAAGCTAACTTGAGGGGCATGAGGCAAGGTGGGGAAGAACCCAGGCTTTAGGGTGAGGCCATGGGATCCAATAACAGCTCCAGCCCTCTCACAACCTTGGAAATGTCACTAAACCTTGCCGAGCTCTTGTTGGCTCACCAGAAAATGGTTGAGAATATATCTGGAAAAGCCGGACACGTACGAAGTAGGCTTAAATGCCAACTCTCATGTTAATTTGTGAGCCTCGAGGTGGACATAAGTAGAAGGTGAGGTACAGAAGTCAAGGGTCACAGAAAAAATTGTCTGGGATCTGATTAAATATAATATTTCACCATATAACATTACTTTAAAAATAATTAAGCAATTTTTTAAAATATATTTTATTGATTTTTTACAGAGAGGAAGGGAGAGAGATAGAGAGTTAGAAACATCGATGGGAGAGAAACATCGATCAGCCGCCTCCTGCACATCTCCCACTGGGGATGTACCCGCAACCCAGGTACATGCCCTTGACCGGAATCGAACCTGGGACCCCTCAGTCCACAGGCCGACGCTCTATCCACTGAGCCAAACCGGTTTTGGCAGCAATTTTTTAAAAATATGTTTTTATTGAATTTTGAGAGAGGAAGGGAGAGGGAAAGAGAGGGGGAGAGAGAGAGAGAGAGAGAGAGAGAGAGAGAGAGAGAGAGAGAGAGAGAAACATCGATGTGAAAGAGAAACATTGATCAGATGCCTCCTGCAGGAGCCCCTGACATTTTGGTGCATGGGATGATGCTCAACCAACTAAGCCACACTGGCTAGGGCAGGGGTGGGCAAACTTTTTGACTCGAGGGCCACAACGGGTTCTTAAACTGGACCGGAGGGCCGGAACAAAAGCATGGATGGAGTGTTTGTGTGAACTAATATAAATTCAAAGTAAACATCATTACATAAAAGGGTAAGGTCTTTTATTTTTTTTTAGTTTTATTCATTTCAAACGGGCCGGATCCGGCCCGCGGGCTGTAGTTTGCCCACAGCTGGACTAGGGCCATAATTAAGCAAGTTTTGATAACCTTTAAAAATTGTGGTAAAATACACATTATGTAAAATGTACTATCTTAACCATTTTTAAGTGTACAGTTCAGTATTGTTAAGTACATTCATATTGTCGTGCAACCAATCTCTGGGACTTTTTCATCTTGTAACACTAGAACTCTATTCCCACTAAGCAACTACCCATTGCCTCCTTCCCCCAGTCCTTGGCAACCACCATTTGACTTTCTGTCTCTATGAACTTGACTACTTTAGATATCTTCTATAAGTGACATCATACAGTATTTGTCATTTTGTGAGTGGCTTCTTTGACTTACCATAACATCCTCAAAGTTTATTCATGTGTTAGAATTTCATTCTTTTTTTAAAAAAATGTATTTTATTGATTTTTTTACAGAGAGGAAGGGAGAAGGATAGAGAGTTAGAAACATCGATGAGAGAGAAACATCCATCAGCTGCCTCCTGCGCATCCCCTACTGGAGATGTGCCTGCAACCCAGGTACATGCCCTTGACCAGAATCGAACCTGGGACCCTTGAGTCCGCAGGCTGAAGCTCTATCCACTGAGCCAAACCGGTTAGGGCAGAATTTCATTCTTTTTTTATAGATGAATAGTATTTAATTGTATGTATATAATGTATTTATCCACTTATTCATAAATGTAGACTTGGGTTGCTCCCACCTCTTTGTATTGTGAAGAATGCTGCTATAGGCATGGGTGTACAAATATCTCTACAGGACCTTCTGGGTGTATACATAGAAGTGGAAGAGCTGGATCATGTGCTAATTATGTTTTTAACATTGAGGAACTCTCAGACTGCTGCAGACTTTTACATTTCCGTCAATAGTGTGAAGAGTTCCAATTTCTTTTCATCTTCACCAACACTTGTTATTTTCTGTTGAACTGGGGGGGGGGGGGGGGAAATAGAAGCCACCCTAGTATGTGTGAGGTAAAATCTCATTGTGCTTCTGATTTGCATTTTCCTAATGATTAGTGGCGTCCAACAGATTTTCATATGCTTTTTGGTCGTTTGTGTATCTTCTTTTAAGCAATGTTGTTTCCCCATTTTATTTATTTATTTATTTTTATTTTTATTTTTTAAAATATATTTTATTGATTTTTTACAGAGAGGAAGGGAGAGGGATAGAGAGTTAGAAACATCGATGAGAGAGAAACATCGACCAGCTGCCTCCTGCACACCTCCTACTGGGGATGTGCCTGCAACCAAGGTACGTGCCCTTGACCGGAATCGAACCTGGGACCTTTCAGTCCGAAGGCAGACGCTCTATCCACTGAGCCAAACCAGTTTGGCTGTTTCCCCATTTTATTTTATTTTATTTTTTAAATATGGAACGCTTCACGAATTTGCGTGTCATCCTTGCGCAGGGGCCATGCTAATCTTCTCTGTATCGTTCCAGTTTTAGTATATGTGCTGCCGAAGCGAGCACTGTTTCCCCATTTCAAAATTGGGTTCTATGTTTTTTGTTATTGAGTCGAAGGATTAGGCTCTTATCAGATAAATGATCTGCAGTATTTTCTCCTGTTCTGTAGGTTGCCTTTTCATTCTAATTGTTCACTGATGCACAGAAATTTTTAATTTTGATGTACTTCAATTTAACTCTTTTTTGTTGTTGTTGCCTGTGGTTTTGCTCTCATATCCAAGAAATCAATGACTAATACCATGCCATAAAGCTCTTGCCCTATATTTTCTTAAGGAGTTTTAATGGTTTGGGCTTTTATAATGAGGTTTTTTGATCCATTTTGAGTTAAATTTTGTAGATAGAGTAAAATAAGGGCTGAAAGTAATTTTTTTTTTTGCATGTGAATATCCAGGTGTGTGCCAGCATCATATTTTGAAAATACTATTCTTTGAATTGTCATTTATTCCATTGAATTGTTTTAACACCATTGTCAAAAACCTGGACTCTCAGTTCTATTCCATTGATGTGCATATCTATCCTCATGCTACTACCACACTGTCCTGACTATTGAAGTTTTGTAATAAGTTTTGAAATTGGAAAGTGTGCGTCATCCAGTTTGGTGCTTTCTTAAGATTGCTTGAGCTATCATGGGTCTCTGGCATGTCCATATAGATTTTAGGCTCATATTGTCTATTTCTCAAAAAAAAAAAAAAGTCAGCTGGAAAGGATTAATTTGAATCTATAGAATAATTTGAGGAGAATTGCCTCTTAACAAAAGTGTTCTCTGATTAATAAACATGGAATGGCCGAAGCCGGTTTGGCTCAGTGGATAGAGCGTCCGCCTGCGGACTGAAGAGTCCCAGGTTCGATTCCGGTCAAGGGCATGTACCTGGGTTGTGGGCAAATCCCCAGTGGGGGGTGTGCAAGAAGCAGCTGATCGATGTTTCTCTCTCATCGATGTTTCTAACTATCTCTCTCCCTTCCTCTCTGTAAAAAATCAATAAAATATATTTTTTAAAAAAAAAAAATAAATAAATAAACATGGAATGTCTTTCCATTTATTAGGTTTTTAACTTCTTTTAACAATGTTATTAGTTTTCAGTGTACAATCTTTTACTTTGTCAAATGTATTTCAATGTGTTTTGTTCTTTTTTATGCTATTGTAAATGGGATTCTAAAATTTATTGTTGTATTTTTCATTGCTAGTATAGAGATATACAATTTATTTTTTTATATAGATCTGGTGTCCTATAAACTTGCTAAACTCACCTTTTAGTAATACAATGTTTTGTAGGTTCCTTAGGGTTTTTTATATATAATGTCATTCTATCTGTGAATAGAAATAGTTTTATTTCTGGTTTTCAATCTGGATGACTTTTATTTCTTTTTCTTGACTAATAGCCCTAGCTAGAACCTTCAGTAAAATGCTGAATAAACATGATGAGAGTGGATATATGGGTCTTATTCCTGATCTCAGGGGGAAAGCCTTTTGGTATTAAGTATGATGTTAGTGGTGGCTTTTTGTTTGTTGGTTGGTTGGGTTTTAGAGAGAGAGAGAAGGGAGAGGGAGAAAGAAACATGGATGTAAGAGCAAAACATCAATCAGCTGCCTCCTGCATGCCCCCTAATGGGGATTGAACCCGCAACCTAGGCATGTGCCCTTGGCCAGAATCGAACCTGGGACCTTTCAGTCCACAGGCCGATGCTCTATCCACTGAGCCAAACTGGCTAGGGTCCTCCTCTCCTTTTTTAAAGATAAGTTTGTGAATGATTGGTATTATTTTTTAATTTTATTGTTCAATTGTCATTTCCATTCAATATTATTTTGCATTAGTTTCAGTTTTATAGCATAGTGGTTAGGTAATCACATACTTTACAAAGTGTTCCCCCTCATAGTTCCAGTACCCACCTGGCAGCATACATAGTATAGTATTATTTACCATATTTTCTATCTGCATGACTATTCTGTGGCTACCAATTTGTACTTCTGAATCCCTTTACCTTTTTACCCAGACCCCAACCCCACTCCCCTCTGGCAACCATCAGTCTGTTTCCTGTGCCTATAA